AAAGTAAGATCAGTTTTCAATTTAAATTTCCCGGGCATATGGCATTTCAATTTTTTTCTTTTTTAGGTTGTTGTCACTGTCCTTGACATCTGTGTGACATTTGACGTCAAAATATTCCTTAGTGCTGGAGTTACTCTTCTGACGTTCTCTTGGAGTTAGCTACTCTTCTCCTACTTTCTCTGAGTTAGCTAACGTTATCTTGGGATAACGTTATATGAGATAATAAAACTAATTCCGGCGATTTTTGAAACTCAATCGACTCAAAACATTGTCCCTGGAGTGGTCTTTGGAGTTTAGGGAATAGCCAGAAGTCGCACGGGGAGAAGCTGGTAGTTGTAGAACAATATGGATTTCATTTTTGGCGAAACAGTCGAGAAGAATCAATGCAGTGTGAGCAGGCGCATTAAGTGTTTTCGGTACCAATCGAGATTTAACGCTATTGAGTCCCAAAATGGAATTGACCGATCCTTTTGAAATTCCAACATCAACAGCAAGGTCTCCAATTGTAAATCGACTGTTTGCAATCACCAAATCTTTAATTTTTTTGGACGTGAGCTTCGCCGGTTGAGGTTGGTGGTCGACCAGAAAGCTCTTCGTCTTCAAAGCGTTCTCTACCTTCTTTGAACTGTTTATACCACTTCTAAGCATTTCTTTCCGATATAGGAATGCTCGTAGAATGCCTCCTGCAACGTTCTATACGTTTCCGCAAACAAAAATTAACGCAAGTTTTTGCTCAATTAATTCACGCATTTCAAAAATCGTAGAAATCAGTTTTAGCATCTCACAAAACCAAGCGTAACTCAAGCACTAATGAATATTTTGACGTAAGATTTCAGATGTCAAGGACAGTGCCAAAAATCTAAAGAGAAAAAAAAAATGAAATACCATATGCTCGGGAAATTTGAATTGAAAACTGGTCTTGCTTTTTGGACACAGTAGTATATCTACAAAATCTTCCATTTTAGCCTTCTCCCTTGTTAGACAACAGCAATGTCGAAAATATAGGAGATGCAGCTACAGCTACTTCTACTGCTATTGGTAAGTACTTGTCCTTTTCAACTTTCTACCCCGTAAAGTGTTGGAAATAAAAATCCCGAGTCTATACCATTAAAGATGGCTAGGGAATTGATAAATTTTCTTTTTCGTAATTGCTGTCCTCTGAATTACTTCTAATTCTTCTTTCGCATTGAGGTCGCATATTGTGTCAAATGACTGTAAAAGAAAATTTAAAACCTTTTTAAAAGATTGAATATATTTTTGTGACTTGACTCGTACATTTTCCCTTAAGATTTCATATTTGGAATAATGACAAATTTGATATCAGTTTAGTTAATGTAAGCAAGAACTGTTCTCTTGCAAAAAGTTGATTTGAATTATTATCCTAAGGGGATTTGAAATAAGTAGGAATCTTCAATTTTTCAATGAAATGTTCACCATCTATTGGCTATAGAATCGTTCTGAATACTGTAAAGACAGCATCTCAAATCGAATAAAAATATGTATTGAAATAAGACACAAAACAGGCCTCCGACTGCCATTCCTACTCTACTTGCAGATGCAAATGGCTTGGCAAATTCTAAAATAATTCGTTCTAAGATTAAAATTAAATACCAAATTACAGAACTCAATGCCGACAGAAAAACAGCTACTCTCGCAAGATTAAGGATGAAGCACGCCCAAAATATGAATTTCTGCTGAGAGCGTTAAAAAAAATACCAAAAATATGACAACTACTCTGATGTCGAGCTTGCTTCTCATCATATCTTTTATTGACCAGCTGTTGCAGATGCCATACATTGTCTGGATCATCCCTCGAAAGAAGATTTATACTCAGAGCTGGCAATCAACATAGCCAATATTCGGGATTATCGTGATGTTGATTTTCTTGTACTCCTCAGGTGATACGAAGACAACTAAACAGGCCAAAATATAAGGCATAATAAAAATATTAAGCTTGCATCTAGTTTAAATTCAATAAACTTGTTCTACTCTAGAATACTCGGCAGGTTCGAATCCTGGCAGTGGTATGTATGTTTTTTAGTGGTTCGGATTCCACGTTAAACTGTAGGTCCCAGTCTAATTAAACTAAAGTGTGAAAAAAATAACCGAACTAGCAAATAACCGAATAACAAAACCAAACCTAGAATACATGAAATAATTATTCAAGCCTATCATGGGTAAATTATAGTTGTTGAAATTCGGCAATTAAATCGGAAATTTCACGAGGAAAAAATTAATTTTTAATTTATGCAAGTTTCACCTTTTCTGTATATTCCCGCATTTACTTTTGTATGCTAATCATTCAAGATTTTGAAAATTTCAGTTAATGTACACTGTAGGCGTTAGTAGTCATTGAAATGTTTACAACACAGTCAAACATCATGATTAATTGCAAATTCATTTTTATGAAATTCTTCCTGAAACTAAGACTAGTATAGTTACTGCTAATAATACTTTATATGGATTAAGAAATTAAAATCTCGCATATCAAGTAAGAAAAAACTGTTATGGTACAAAACTCTTAGCCAGCTACGATGCTGAGACTTGCGGTGGGCTATGACTGTTTGGCGAGTCATCTGAACAGCATTGGCATTTTTGATAGCCCAAATTGCCCGCTCTATGGGAAAGACGAGATCATAGATGGGCAACTTATAGCAGGATGCCTGGCCTTGCATGAGGACTCAGAGGTGAAAAGATATTGGAGCGCTAGAACTTTGCAGATGAGACAATGACGTTTTCTCTTATTTTTTCTTGTGTGTTTTACACTGTTTTGATCTTGTAAGTGTTTGTCCTTTTCTCTTGCCATTGGAAATAAATAAATAAAAAAAGCTTGGTTAGAGAATGTCCGTCCACGTCTCAAACGGAAGATTTTGAATTACCCTGGTTTGTCGCTCCAGGAATGAATTTCATTCGAAGTTTTCGTATTTGTCTAAATAATTTCAGCTAAATATGCTATGTATGTGAGTAGTCTCGACTGAAGCATTCTCTCTATCTTTAAATATGTCAATAAAGCATTGTATTGCATAACGAAATTTTGTTCATTAACAAATTGGTGAAGATAATTCTGCTGAATACTAGCCATCTTCATTCTTGAAGGGTTTTGATAATCCTGAAAAAATTTATGATAATATAACAAACTGTTGCAATTTTTCAATCAGTTTAAGGTGGGGTTTAAACAATGAATACAGCAATCCAATTCTTAAGTCTTATTTGTATGCAATATATATCAGATGCTCGCTAGATTTTGATAAATCAAGAATTTGTCATGTCTCAAGTTTCTTGTTGAGTTAAAAGAATCCTCACCATTCTGATCAAAGTAGGCAATTTATTAACTTGCATATTAATAAATGGTTTAAAAAAACTTATGCAGCCAGAAATTCTAATACTACTAGCGGATGAAATTTCTTGCTTATCACTAGTTCTTATTCATTTGCGGCCCGATGTCCAATTGGCTATCACTCTGGCCTTTGGTACCACAAACTTCATGTTCGAATCCTGGCGATTGCATAGATGTTTTGATAGTGGTTTGGAATTCCATGTTGTAGGTTTAACTATAATTAAATTGTCACGAGAAATCACTACTGTGACCAGTAACTGGTACCATTACTCTGTGAACTGGTAAGTACATGATTAGATTTAGAGACGACGAGGTGAACGCTAGGAGCGTCTGACAGATTAAGACGGTCAGAGATCGTATGTGATGTGTTCATGGTTTTTATTAAATAGGATTGATATTGTGGAAGTGGCACACGGTGCCATGTGTATGTAGTATTGTTAATATTGCAAATAAATTACTGTAAATGGAAAGATTGGAGTGTTTCCGTCCGCCTGATACAACTAGTCGCAACTAGCAAGCGACAACAATGTTAAACTGTTTATCCCGGTCTAATTAGCCTAAAGTGTGCACAAAATGACAGTAGAGTGACAAACCAAATCTAATTCTTTTTTGGAGTGCAAAAAATGTAACATTTCGATGTAAGAATTTCATTTGAAATGGAAGATAACATAGCCATTTTTAGAAACTTAATGGATTCAACCGATTTTTTTAATACGCTTTTATTAATTTCACCTGTATGTTTGCCCTACTTTAAGCGATTAGATTTAATTTAAACGTTGTAGACTTATCAAGGACCGACGACAATAAAATATTTTGATAAGTTTATTATCTCGTCATATAACAACTATAGTTCCAGTCCTCCGTACTGGGACCTCATCTAAATATTGTTTAAAAACACGCTTTTAGAGTTAATCAAACTTAAAAGTAAAAAATAATTGTTACCGACGAGACAATGAATGTCACTGTTCTAAAAGCGTGGGGTGCTCGATATCAATCGTTATAATTTTTCACTAGTTTCATTCCGAAATGCAGAGTTTAAAAATGTCATAGAAAGCACCCCACGCTTTTAGAACAGTGACATTCATTTTCTCGTCGGTAACAATTATTTTTTACTTTTTAGTTTGATTAACTCTGAAAAACACGCTTTTAGAGTTAATCAAACTATTAATTTATTTCGTATAGCAACTGAAGTTACCGAAACCACCCCAGAAACTCCCACTGCAGACCCTAACGTCAGTCGAACAACAAACGATGAAAGCGGAGAATTTCACGATCCGGTTTGTAACATATACAGGGATGAGGAAAGATCCTCGGATGTGGTGATGGAGGTGGATGCTATAATTCCAGAAGTGAACCCAGAGCGCAACGATGAGTCTGAAGAATTTTTTAGAAATATGCCTTCTGAAAGTCTCTTCGACTGCTGTGCAAGAGGAGTGCTTCAATTTTCCGAATCGAGTAAGTTCCTTATGATTTGCAATGTTTCATTTGACTTAAATGCATTAGAGCAGTGATTCTCATGGTAACTCCCAGGAGAAGGCGAGACATTGGGTTCTTTTAGAACAGGGGTATCCAAACTAGGGCCCGCGGGCCAAATCTAGCCCGCCAGTGCCATCAATCCGGCCCGCGACAGCGAATAGCTTATTGTTGCTGTAATAAGTTGGCCAACGGCCATACCATGCTGAATATACCGGTTCTCGTTAGATCACCGAAGTCAAGCATCATTGGGCGCGGTCAGTACTTGGGTGGGTGACCACCTGGGAACACCAACGTGCCGTTGGCATTCACACATTTGGGACCTGAATGGCCGAGTGTCTAGCGCTCTGGCGCTCGGTGTCACAGGTTTCGGGTTCGAATCCCGGCGGTACCATGGATGTTTGTTGTGGTTCGGAATCCACTTTAAGCCGTAGGTCCCGGTCTCATATGACTGTAAGAGCGTCACGGAGCCAAAGTCAGGCTTCTACCTACGGGTGCTCCATCACAACAGAAGCTGCCTCCTTCCCCTTCAATCATGAGTACGTATGGGCTCGTGGGCTTGGCCAGCCAAGTGGGATAAGAAACAACAACAATAAGTTGGATAAAAAAAAACACAGAATGATAACTCGGTTTTATTTACTTGCTAATCAAAGCTTAATGACAAGCATAATACGCAGAAAATTTAACTTAAGCATAACAACTAACGAAAAAGTTGTAAAAGAGTTATGTTGGGGTAAAGAGTATCGCATATGTATGTATATCGATGTTTGGAATGTATATATCCTGAAATAAACATGATTTTTATCCTGAAATTCCGTCAGGAACGGAAAAGCTGGATAAATAATGGCAGAAAAATTAAAACGGTTTTTGCCCTTGGTACTTACTGGAGTAAACAGTATGGCCTTAAGGTTGGTGAGTTTGGAGACCCCTGTTTTAGAATATAAAAGTACGCTTAATCGGGGAATAACATGGAAAATGAATCTTCATTTCCTCAATTCCAAATCTCTTAATTGCAGTGACATCTCGGTATGTGTGCTTAATCCTTCCGATAATTGATATATTAAACGGAACGTACAATTTAATTTTACACTAAATGATGTCAACTGGCATATTGACGTTCATGAACGGTTGTAGCTTTGTTTCGGGAAAGGTAAACAGGGGGTAGTGCATGGTGTTGAGATTCATATCCCACACAAGATAGTATACCAAACAAAACCTACTCGGAGGCAGATATACTACTGTGCCCTTGGAGCAAGACCAATTATTTTTCAAAAACTCTTTTCTTCCAAATTTATTTCATCGCCTTCAAAGTAATACACAATGCACTTATGCCAAGTGCTTTGTACTTTTTCCAATCCTCAATGCGTGCTAAAGAATCATCGGCAGGGATGGCCTTCAAAGCACGCGCCGATTCACGTTGAATCTCTTCAATAGACTTAACACGGTGTCCCCGGAGTGGTCTTTTGAGTTTAGGGAACAGCCAGAAGTCACACAGTGCTAAATCGGGTGAATACGTTGGTTGTGGAACGATATGGGTTTCATTTTTGGCGAAAGAATCGTGAAGAATCAATGCAGTGTGAGCTGGCGCATTCAGTCTTTTCGGTACCAATCGACATTTGACATATTAGGTCAATTCCAATTTGGGAATCAATCGTTTTGAAATTCCAACATCAGCAAAGTGTCTAATTGTAAAGATTTGGTGCTTGCGAACCATCGATTTAATTTTTTGGACGTGAGCTTCGTCTGTTGAGGTTGGTGGTCGACCAGAGGGCTCTTAGTCTTCAACGCGTTCTCTGCTTTCTTTGAACTATTTATATCACTTCTAAACATTTCTTTCCGATATAGGAATGCTCACCGAATGCCTACTGCAACATTCTACACGTTTCCGCAAACAAAATTGAATTGCAAGTTCTTTGCTCAATTCATTCAGACATTTCAAAAATCGCCAGAATCTGTTTTAGCGTCTCAGAAAGCCAAGCGTAACTCAAACACTAATGAATATTTTGTCGTCAAATTTCACACAGATGTCAAGGACAGTGCCAGCAATTTAAAAAAAAATGCAATTCCATAAGCCCCGGGAACTTTAAATTGAAAAGTGGTCTTACTTTTCGGACACGGTATGATCGACATTTCCTACAGATGAAAATAGTTGTTCTAATTTAAAATTTAATTGAAATAATTCTTAATAAGTGAATTATGGGAAAGTTAATAGAAAATGGGAAATTCCATTTGGGATTTAAATAATTCATTATTTTCTTTATTATATGCATTTCAAAAACAGAAACAGCCGTAAAAATATGCGAAATTTAAGACTTTGTTCAGACCCTATTTATTACTGCAGTGTTGAGCATCTGAATTGGACAATGTTGATCTATGCATCTATAATCAAAACTACGACAAAAAAAACCGCTTTATAAGTTATAGCCTTAACATAATTTATAATATGAATATAATTTATAATGAATCGAAGCACGAGTTATTTCTCAATATTTAATTACTGTTGTATAAAATCCGACCTTATTTCAATTTGTTTATATCTTCTGCTGGTTTTATATGCTATACTTTATGAAACATTAAGAAATATTTTAACTTGTATTGTTTAAATCTTTCTTTCTAGAATATATGCTGTTTATTCAGTTTCTGCTGCTGTCAATGCCTATATCGTCTGGCTTCATGGGTATGATTGCTTTTATTTTTCCAAGTTTGATATTGAATCTTCCCGCTTTTTCGAACTGAACAAGTAATATAAAAAAAAATATTTTTTTTGAAGTCAATTCCTACTTTTTTTCACATTGTAGAAAGTCCTTTATAAATTTTCATTTTTTAAGGTTTATCTGGCACCCATCTATGGGTAGATATATGCAACTTAAATCTAAAAAGAAACTAAAATTAAATTTAATTACTGAATTAATAGTTTTTGCATACCGTACTTTAAAAACACGGTATTTTTTTCTCCTTAGCGCGCCTGCTCATAGGAAATTGCGCATGCGTATCTGTAATGTTTCCTATGATCAGGCGCGCTAGGGAGAAAAAAAATAGTGTTTTTAAAGTACGATATGCAAAAACTCTATTTGAAAAAACTGTTTTAACATCCAGTGTCATCCCCTACAAGTTCAAAAAAAATGTATTTGAACTTGAGTGGACGAATAAAAAGTATTTTATGAATGATTGAAAATTTGAACAAGATATATATAGGGAGAGTGTGAGCTAATGAAAGGAATTGGAAAAAAAAGCAAAGGATGTAAATAATTTTACCGATAATATTTTAGAATGTTGAAATTTTTTGCGAAGTGGTTCCTCTTGTTACTAGTTGCATTATTGATGTTTAGAAATTGTAATTACAGGAAAATGCTTTTTTTTTATTGTAAATATAAAATAAAATGATTAATATTTATTTAAAGCTCCGTATTCAAGGATAATTAGACTAATCATATTTATGTGCAACTCGGAGGAAAACTTGTAATATGCTATTAACACACTGAAAACTGTATGCTATGAGAAGTGTATAGCCTGAATTTGTGCACATTGGTTTGTAAATATTCAATAAAAATTGATAATATTCATAACAGAAATTTCTTAAAGTACATGCTTTTCAATGCTACTTCCAGTATAGTTTTTGCTGCCTGATGGTCAATTTACTAGGGCTCTTGCCTTTGGTACCACAGGCTTTAAGTTCGAATCCTGGCTGTGGCATGGATGTCTGTTAGTGGTTCGGAATCCACGTTAAACTGTAGGTCCCGGTCTAATTAGCCCAAAATGCGCACAAAATGACCTTAGAGCTGCAAACCAAACTAAACCAAAATCCAATATAATTTTGAAAGAATACTGTTTACAAAAAGTCGTTAATATATTCCGTAATGGTCGACATCTCTGCAAATGATGTGAATTTCTGTCATCTGTCGGGAATATCTCATGTCTTAAAAGCATTAAAAGCCTTTAAAGTCAAAACAAAGCGTTCCCCATTACTACATGCAATGCTAAAAGATGCAAGTTATTGCGTCATGGCTTTTTTACAGGGGGTATTATCACCATAATTTTCTGTCTGTAATTCTTCCTTTTTTTCAAAGGACTGATCTTTTTACTTTTATTTTTAGTTCTATAAAACATAAATCGACTTTTAAGCTAAAACTTAATCTGTTTGCTGGGCGGCTAGCTAAGAACAACTTGTCTCATTTCCCGAGGTTAAATTCAATACCCTCAGTAAATGAAGAGAAGCTTAAGAATTATGAAGATGGCTTGAAAAAAAACTGCATTTTTAGTTCGAAAGCAGATTTCAAGATTTCAGTGCCACTCAAACAGAATTGTATACTTTTATCAAGCCTTTCAATGTAAACTGTGAAGCACTGAGGTTATATTTGCAGGTTGAATTAACTGAGTTGTAATCTAACAATCCTCTCAAGCAGTTGTTTCTAAATATGCCAAAGTTTTACAAATCATTATTAAGTAAGTTTCCCAAATTTAATAACTCACGTCCAGAATAATAACTCTCAGCCCTTTGCCTCCTCTTATATATGGGAACAAGTGTTTTCAACTATGAACTTTAGAAAGAATTATTTCAGAAGTAGACTGACAGATAGGCATTTAGCCCCGTTCCTTAGAATCAGTACATCTCACTTCGAACCTAAATATAAGGAACTTTTTAAACTGAAATCACAATTTCATGCATCTCATTAACATATTTAAATTGTAATACTTGTATATTGTTTTTAAAAGTTTAGAAAATTTATCTTGGGCCGCCAAACTTTTTTTTCTTTCGATTTTTGGCCCGCGATCGAAAAGGTTTGCCCATCCCTGTTTAAGACCATGAGAGGACTCTCAAACTGATTTGTTTAATGCTAACTATTCTTCACAGGAGCAAAGTACTTGGACAAGTGTCCTCTGAGTTCTGAAACTCCAGTATTCTTGTTCATGATGGGAGTAGCTGGGACCATAGTCATAATTTGCAGAATATTGCTAATTTCCCAGAAGATCTTGCTGCCGAGACGCAGGGAGTGGCAATTGCTGAGAGTCATCATGATCGTCGGCAATCTGGCCATCATAGTATGCCTTGCAACAGGTACGCTATGATAATGAAACTTTCAAATTGTAATACTCTAGGAAATTTATGTATGGTACGCTTAACTTTCAGATTCTTATTTATTGAAATATTGGTTATAACTCGAATATATTCTCTTGTATTCTCCTAGTTATATTCTCTCAAATGTTAAGCTGATAACATTTCCTCAATATGCTTTTATTTTTGCTTATTTGAAGACATTTATGCACGTTAAGTAACTTTAAATTAGCAAATTCAAAAACATGA